CCTGTGGCCACACGATGGAAGCTAATGGTGGCGTAAACACATGCTGGGAGTGCATGAGGACTGTTTTGTTCACTCCTGCAGCCAACAGTAGAACATCTGGTGTGCTTTGTTTGTGGCTGAGACACTTTAGCGTCAGCAGAAGCATCTCCAGAAAGCACATAAACCAGACGCCAGCTCATTTTGAACATCTCATCAGCAGTGATCGGCTGAGATGATGCAACTTTTTACCTCTACGACTATTCTGCTCGTCAACTATTCATCTGCTCACTGATTAAAATTCTTACTGGCCTGTAAAGCTGAGAGGCTATGCAGTTAATAGGGGCTGGATGAATGGCAGTAGCAACCATCTCCATGTTTTCACAGCTTTTATTTTACACATCCATATTTTTAACACACTAAAACTGGATTTTCACCATATGGGCCCTTTAAATCCTGAGATATCTTCACCCTCTGGTCTATTCCTGCTGAGTGGTACAAGCACAGCGGTTTTCATCTGGAATGCATCATTATGACAGCTGAGAGTCATTTGAACAAGTGCCGGGTCAAGTGAACACTTCAGTGTCACCGAGGACCACATTAACACACCACCACCACCACCATCTTCGAAAATCCATTTTTAAGTGCACAGAAATTTCGGAATTAATCATCAAAAGTTGAAAAAGCAAAGATGAAAAGATGGCAGTGTTTAGCCTATGTTACATGCATAAAACACTGCATTTAATTAAAAAAATAAAACTTCAACTCCAATAAAGTCAACGCAATAAAACAGTTTTACTATTTTGTTGTTTGTCTCTTTCATATTCTGCCTTTAAAAAGTACAAGGACGTTGTTTTGGGTTGCTTTGTAGTGACCTACATTATGAGGAAAGGAAAAAAAAAGGAGCTAATTTTTGAAAGGAAACGTCGCAATTATGAATGAGATTAAAGGAGGAAAACAACAGCAAACAAAGCGACGGTGGAGCAGCTCTCCTTATCTTTAAACATGCATTTGTAGTTTTGAACATAAGCCGTTTGCTGCTGCTCGTATTTCCACCTTGTTTTACATTCGCTTTACTCTTTTCTAATGCTAATGGCACCGAGCCTGTTGAAAATGTGAAATTGCTCCATTTGTAAATGATAATTCTATAATTTATTTACAGCTACAGGGACAGAGGTGGGAAGTCAGTGAACTGGTGCCGTGCTGATAAGCAAGCTGATCACCGCATTAATATTAGGGAGTGGGGGGGAGAAATTACATGTTTACTAATGGTTGCAATAGCAAGACAAACAATCTGAAGCGACTGTGTGGTTATGGTTTCCTACTGAGACTGGGAAGAGAGGGGGGAGGAGAAATTAATATTTAATAATCACAGATCTGTTTATGAGCTCGCACGAGGAAAAAAAAAAAAAAACGACACACGGGGGGAAAAAAAAGATGCAAAGTGTGTGTTTGCATTCTTCTACGTCCCATTCACAAAAAAAAAAAAAAAAAAAGAATATGTTGAGTTGGGTGCAGCTTGTCATTTCAATTTCAGTATGCAAATGTATGCTCTGCTTATATTATAGGAGGGGGAAGAAAAAAAAAAGATTCAAAAGAAATGAGAATATGGATTTAAGCAGTGATTTAAACTCTGACGATGTAAACACCGCATGTGGTTAAAGCTCGCTGTCAGGCTCGTTGCTGCGGCGGTGTGTGTGTGTGTGTGTGTGTGTGTCTGTGTGTGTGTGTGTGTGTGAGGGGGGTAGAAAGCCTCAGCGCTGAGATGCAGTTATTAATCACAGTGCAAGCGTTGATTCATCTGTCGTGGAGGCAGTTTGGAAGATGGACTCTATTTACTGCTAAAGCTGTTTGAGGGGCTTTGGGAGGCAGCTATCAATCTCTTGGCTATCTTCAAAAGAAGGCGCCGATGCACAGGCATCAGTTTCAATCACCTCCCAGAGACAGGTGGTATGGTAAGCTGCCGCACAATAGTTTTTCCTCTTTTACTTCTCCTCTTCTTCCCTCTACCTCAAGGTGATTTTCTTTTTTTTTTTTTTTTTCGCTTCCCAAGGGAAGCACGTTATTAATGCGTTTTATCATAATAATAATAATATTACCTAAAAATACATACTGCACCCTGCCCTTTGGCTCCCTTGCTGTTTGGCACCCCGTGTTCCTAATTAGCATCTTCAATTAACCCATATTAATTGCCAACTATGGAGAGGTGGAGGAACTTGGCAAGTTGGTGCCACAGGGAGCAGTTTTTTTAAAAATGATTGTACTAATGCACTCTCAACCTCAACCTGCAAACACCACCTTTATGGAGCTTGTTCAGGTGACATTGTGAAAAAAAAAAAAAAAAAAAGGAACCCGAGTGTGAGTGGTTCTGTGTAGTTAAACAACAATCACACTTGGTTTTTGAACCGCATCTCTCTCCCCCCAAACCACCCTTTTTTCATCTGAGTCAGTCGGGCCTATTACCTCTGCAGGAGTCTAATGGTAGCACTTTACCATCCATTGCTCCCTCTTTCTTAATATCATCTCGGTTTTTGTTCTGCGTCACAGGGGGTGTTATCAGAATTGCTCGGCACAATGCAGAACACTTAATGACTCTGTTTTGTTTTAGCGCTTTGATCAATCTTGATTTTTTATTTTTATTTTTTGGGCCCCGACAATTTTAAATACACAAGAGAAGACAAGTAGCCCCATTACTTTCACCTGACGTAAACAAATCATTTTGCCGTATTAACTTTAAATCATCGCTGTAAGGAGGAAAACACGGCTTGTTGTGAGGGGGGGAGCGCCGTCTCTGCTCCTCAGCCAAGTTCATTGGCGCAGCAATACCGGCCCATTAATGTAGTCAGCACTTCAGTGGAACACCGGGGGAGCTTCCAAACCCCCCAGATAGACTGGAATCAATTGGAGTTGGATGGCGCTGGCAGTGCAGAGTGCAGCCAGGATAGTCTGGGGTGATGTTCGCCAGAAGTGGAGGGCCAACAGAGGTCACCAAGAGCAGCTGATTCCACCAGAAAAAAAAAAAAGAAAAAAAAAACAGGCTGCAATTTCTCTCTGCTGCAAATGACTCAGTGGTAACCTCCTCCTAACCTGTCATTACCATGCTATTACTGCTCTGCCCCCCCGAGGAGCTGGGAGGCTGTCATCACCTGACACTGTGTTTGTGTGTGTCCATCAACCCGAGATGAAAGTAAGCAATCATGTAAGCGCTTCGTCCTCGGCTTCCTCAGCCAGACGCGGAGCTCCGCAGCATTACAGCGCGAACATTCACCTTCATTTAACATAATTGTAATGTGGCTGAACCCTTAAACCCACAGACGGGTTTGAAAAGCATATGATCTAAAAGAAGAAAAACTGCCAAGATTACACCCTTATTTCCACTGATGCTTAAACTGCTCGTCTGTGACATGCTGTCCTGTTGGGAAATTTAACCAAATCTGAGCTTAATATTGTGGAATTTCATTAAAATCACTTCATTCTACAGGGTTCATTTAAAAACATGACAAAACTAAATTGGTTGTTTCTCCAGATTCTGTCTCAGCTACAACAAACAGCCATGTGACAAACATTCAGGGACTTTTCGGCTCTACTGGGCTGAACTGCAGGCAGTGTTAAAGCAGAGCAGCCAGATGTGATTACTAAAATATCTATATTGTGACCAGTCACTATTTTTCCAATACTGATAACACCTGTGGAACAATGCTGTATCAACAAAAAAATAGCTTGTTTTTTTGTTTGTTTGTTTACTTTAAAAAACATTTAAGGCTTTACACCTGTGCTACACTTCACAGAATACATTTCTGACTTCTCTCCACTACTTGCCATAGTTGTGATGTTTTCAGAAACTGCTTGAGGTTCAGAGGGTTCATAAAAACAGACATTAGTACTGTTGCCATGCTTCATACCAGTTAAACAGCCTGAATCAGTTTGCTCAGCTTAAAAGTATAGTTATTGAAAAAAATATAATTAATACCCATCCATCCATCATCTATACACCGCTTAATCCTCACCAGGGGGCTGCAGTCTATCCCAGCCGACTCAGGGTGAAGGCAGGTTCACCTGGACAGGTAAGACAATCAAGCACATTCACACCTACGGACAATTTAGAATCACCAGTTAACCTCAACATGTTTCTGGACCTTGTGGGAGGAAGAACCCTGAGAGAACCCACACTGCACGGGGAGACTCCACCCAGAAAGATCCCGGATGTCCTCACCAGGACGAGAACCGACGACGGTGCTAACCACCGCTCCACCTCGCAGCCCTTCATTAATATCTAAATGTTTGAAAAGTTAGAAACTGATGCTCAGCTCCACAGTCTCCCTTTTTTTCTGTGATTCATGTTCAATCAGAAATGAGGATCAAGTTATTTGGATTTTGATGATTCTGTGTCTCAGTGGTGTGAGCACACAATCAGTTAGACGCTCTGAGAAGAAGGTCTGATTACCCCTGATTAGAACAACTTTCTCCTCGGCTTATCATTGGCTATGTCGGCGCTAATCTGAGCGCTGATTGGTGGGAAAAAAAATAGATCCGAGTGCAGGGCATCCTCTGGGCAACAAGGTCAAATGAGAAGATGGTGATGACAGAGTTCATGTTCTGAAGTTTTTACGAAATAACTTGGAGAAAACTATGGAGGTTGGGCAAAAAAACAAACAATGAAGGATTATTGGAATCAACACTACTACTTGCTGGTGTGATGTAGATCATCATCTTTAATGCTTGGTCATAGGGAATCTTATGATCTGTTGGGTTTTCCATCTATTATTTTGTAGAGTCTTAACTTTAATTGTTGTATCAGTCAAGTAGCTTCATAGGAGTATAAAATATAGTAGTTTCTGAACCTTAACACTTCAGTTAGTCAGGTTAATTTGCATTATAAATAATACTGCAGGGTCTTAACCTTACAGTCTAATTTGGTCCGGTAACTTTTACTATGGACCTACCAGAAGCTCCATCTTTACATTTGACAGAGACATAAAAAGCGTGAACACAATCCCTGAGTTTGACTGTAGCGTTTTCCTTACTCTGAGGAAGGTGAGGTCGCGGCTGCGGTCGATGCTCGTGATCTCCAGGTTGCCCATTACCACTTCACAGTTCTCGTAGTACTTCCTCAGAGTGCGGTACTGCTGCTCCAGGTCCGACAGCGTGCTCAGCTTGTTCTCTGTACCGGCACATACTAGAAGAAAAAAAAACAAGGGGACAGAGTTAAAACAGCCACGTTAGATAGATGTGGGAAATCTATCTAGGAAATGATAAAACTGCACGTCCAGATTAAACAGGTTTGACTGAGTAAACATTTTAAACACTGACCAGAAACGCCGCAGAGCTGGGAGGCTCGATAACACAAAAATAGTCACAGCTAACGTTGTTGTAGTGTATACGAGAGAAAAAAACAAAAGCAGCTGTATGATTGTAGCAGGAAAAGACGCATGTAGAAGCCAGTAATAACGTCCGATAGCGTAAGATGTTATTACAGTCGCAAAGAATTTTTTCTACCAGGCCAATAACATAATTTATGACGTTATCGGTTCAGGACTTTTATTACGTTTTTAGCCAGTTATTAGATTATCGGCTTCTACAGAGCTTTTGTACCAGAGTTATGCTGCAAAATTTTTATTTCGAATGTGACAGAAATACAACTCCACAGACAGTGACTTTGCTGCTCGTGTAAGAGCAGGAAGCCACTGGACCCCACCGCACCTCAACGCCTCCCTACATCACCACTTGTACCCACAGGGTGGATGAGAGCTCTTTAGTGGCTAGCCGGGCCGCTCACTTGACAAGTAATTAAACAGAACCATTTCCGCCCGTCACACACCTTGCTCACCCAGGACGACACAAACCATCTGGCCAATCAGCTGGCGTTTCCCAGTCTAGCGTGAAACCGCACACGTATGCATACATGGACACAGATTTTTATTTTTATTTTTTAAAAAGGCACATAAATCCCAAAGTTTGTGTCTTTAGAAGTGAAAAAAAACCCTTTAGCGTCCACTGATGTGTCCTCTACTGGACTTAACACAGCTTTATGCGCGTCAGTGTTTTCTCCAGTTCCTCCTACGTTCTGTAAAGCTGCTGAATTGCAAGCCGACGTACAGACACGGCCGCTGACATTCAGTCTTTTGAAGCATTAGTTTCATTTGTATTGCCACGGCGGTGTGGTTTCTCCCACCTGCACCCTCTTCACGCTCGATGACAGAGAAGCCATCAGTGTGACGGAGGGGGTGACGGGTCCTTCCCTGAGTCTTGTCACACTGTCACCCATGAGCTGTTACCTCTCTCTCCGAACACCTCCACCTTGAAAGATCTTCACTGACGGTTTGCATTTTAATCCGAGATCCATTACACCCTCCACCGTGAGCTATACCTCCACGTTTTACACATCGCGTCCTCCCCCCGGTCCAACCCGAGCGCACGCCGCCCTCTCCGGCTGGCAATAAACTAGGCCAAACTCATTTAGCCGCCTTTTTTTTCTTCTTCGCATGTGGCGAAATCTTTCAATTCCATTTCCTATTCACTCCTCCTCCTCCTCCCATTACACAACAGATACATGCAGGGGGGAAAAGAAGCCTCGGGGGGCAACACCGGCTGTAAAGACAAATGGGATTGTGTTTAAATACTTCCACATCTAAGCAGATATTAGATAAGCGGAGCCGTTCCAATGTGACCCGGACAATACCCGTACGAGCTGGCGCTGATTAGCCGGGTTGCACATAGCATACCGTGCTGCTCAGGAATGATATATGGCAGGCCTGGGTGTTTTCAATAACAGTTAGCGTGGGCTTGAGGGGAGCGGAGTGGAGGTAGTGGGGGGGTCATAAAGAGAGGATAGGTGTAATAAACTGTTATTGCACCCGTGGGGCAGGGCGCCGAGATCAGAGGAAAGGGGGCATTGTGGCATGTGATGTCTGTGGAAATTTACTTTTTTTATATATATATATTTATACACACCCATTTGCTTCCTCAAGCAAGCCTGCTGACTTTTCAAACCCGCCCGGTGCATTGTGAAACGTTTGTTTATCTCTTTGTTGTTGTTGTTGTTGCATTTAAACATGTCATTTCTAATAAAACCGCTGAAAAGCTCCGCATGAGCTTGAAATGTACGACTGCCAAGTGAACCACGACAGAACCATCTGCGCCGCGTGGAGCAAACGTGTGAACTGTTGCAGGTTTACTGCAAAGCTGGGTGATCTGCTGGTCCGCATGTGTGTGTGTGCGTGGACGTGGGCAGGCTGTAAATAATAGACCTCAGGATGTATTTCCCCCCCTCTCGCTGCATGATCGAACCCATTTGTCTCCATGCTCAATATGTTACATCTGAGACCGTGCATCACGCTAAAGGTTGTAGAAAACACAGCCTCGGCTCTTCATATTGGCCAAACCTGCCTACCGGGGAGCGGAGTGTCACGAGACGCTCCGTCGTCGTCTGTTTAACATACTGCCTAGGATGCAGGAACACACCGCAAGAACAGATGAATCTTCATATTGTTTAAAGCTTACGGTTGTTCCATAAAAGAAAATCTATCTTATCTGTTTGATGGATTTCACTCCCTGGCACACTTTAAAGCTAAGAATGCCAATGAGATTCAGTATCTTTTCCTCCATATATATATATATATATAGCAGATCTGCCCATGTGAGTAAATTGATTTAATTTGTTTGCAGGGAATTTCATCTCAGAGGTGATAGATTAAGGCAATGAATCATAATAATTCAAAATTTTCCAATATATGTAATTAATGAGATTATGAGCCAATGGGTGGAAATGCATCTGGCTCAATTTGTAAGGTCTACGAGGGGATATAAAGGTTTTTTTTCCCTGCAGTGCTTTGACGGATACAGCGAGCTAGTGAGGAGCTAAATAATGCAAAACTGCATGTCTATCAGATAGGCAGATAAATAGAGAGATAGTTGCTGTGTTTCTCCAGCAGACAGAAAATACCACAATACATCTATCACTGTCTCTGCCACAAACCCCACCATCAGCAAACACTCTTTACACAAAACCAAAACACGTTTAAATATTTGCTAACGGACCGAGCCACATTTTCACTTTTTTTTTTTTTTTGGGGATTTCATAAATATCCTCATTAAATAGGCACTGCATTGTCATCGTTTCACCCCCTTCCCATTTCATTTCATAGGTAGTGCACACAACAGCTTCATCAATAGTGCCCGGCGCGATTATTGAACGCCTATAAAGCCGGCGAGTCTCTGAGGTTTATAGGCTCCTGCAAGTGAAGCCAGCAAAGGTCATCCCAATAGCCAGTAACTGACTGAATTAAATAAAGTTGCAAATGTCACTTACATAAGTAAACACTGTCAATAGCAGAGCTCGGCCGACGTGACTGGAATTAGCAGGAGGAGGATGCTCGCACAAATTAAACAGAAACTTTGCCTCGCAGGGTGCAAAAAAAATTCTCCACTTCCTGTCAAGCACAGTGAATAAAGCACCGAATTTGAGGTCAGAGCCGTCCTTTGTCCCCTAATGTCCCCCAGATGAGCTCCGGTGGTTAAGTATGAGTTACAAGCCACCGCTTCTGATGGTAATCATGGCCTAGATTATCGCCCCATCTGCTGAGCGGCTTAATAAGCATCAGAAACAATAACTGGATGAGGGTTTCGTGACGACGGCATGGTCCAGTAACACTAACCTCTTGCTGCCCTCTGAGCTCTGGTCACCTACCAACAATGCTGTCGCTGTCTCCATATGGTCCGCTGCAAATTAGCATTCTGGTGCGCACACGCCCAACACCTTGTGGGAGTTTTCCACAGAGGAAAGCGTGCAGCTGCCAGCGTGCACTCTGGGCTTACAGAGGCTGATTGCACCGCGTGCATCTGATATATAACAAATTATTGCAAATACGTGGTGCGTGGGTACGATCGGTGCATGTCATGTACTGCTCAGTTTCACTTTCTCTAGTGGGGAGAGATTCTCAGGCGACTGTCTGCTATCTGCACATCACTAAACGGAGACCTTTGGGTTAAGAAAGGGAAATATTTGCTAAGTTAGGCCCTAGATAACAATATGATCTATCTCCTGCTGTTATTTAAAGCTGTTGCCATGCTAATCCTACAACAAACACAAATAAAATCAATGAACAAACAGAAAAAAAATAGCACATGAATGCATAAAACTGGTAGTAATGGACTACTGTCATCAGTGTTTGACCTCGTTGTGCATCGTCTCAGTAAACGATGGTCCAAGTAGCCACGGGGAGCATTTTTTTTTGCCGGGAAACCCGCAGAACCGGCCAGAACAACGTCCAGACGTCACCCTAACCCACTTATTCTCTCCGACCACCTCGCTCTCGGTATTTCTGTGGGATTTAAAAGTTGTCTCCAGACAAGAAAAATCCATCCGAGTCGCAGGGGAGTGATTGGCTGACACTGACACACACCTCATTACCTCAAATCCGAGCCTCTTCTTCCTGACTGAGTGCGCCGCTGACAGTAGGTGCGGTAAAAAAAAAAAAAAGCCCTCCAGACCTCAGACTGACCAGCAGCAGAAATGTGTTTGAGTTTGTGTGTGTTTGTTTGACTCTCAGCTCTGGCTTGCCCTCGTAGTACAACACAGGTGTATTGACCAAAAATGTGAATCGTTTTGCCAAAAATAGCTCAGCGTGCATGTTTTACTCCAAGCTGTGGTTTTAGATTAATAAGGCTCTGGGGGAAATGCACTGCAGCCTGTTGTGTTTTAGCCGTGTGGCTTCGTAAAAGAGTGAAACAGTGAATATCATGTGCTTCTTCTTCTTTATTTTTTTGAAGTTTTTGAAGCTGCTGCTGCATCTAATCGTCAGGTAGCGTTACAGAAAATACACTATTATTGACGGAACTGTTTCTCCAAGGCTCATTTTGTCTTGTTTGTTCATGGAAGATGACAGAGACGTTTTGAATGTTTAAGAATAATTGCTATGAGAACAGTGGTTATGGGAGATAATGGAGTTTCACTGGTTGCTTGTTGGTCTGATGTGACATGATGCAGCATTATTAGCAGGAGCTTCAGTTTAAGTTTGGCACAAAACACACAACTATAACTAAAATATGAGCAAATAATACAATTAAATCAACATGAATGCAGCGTCTCCTGGCTGCTAATCAGTGTACATATGACAACACTGTGGTGGGAACAGGTCAGATTGGATGTCCAATAGGAGGCGTTGTTTGTGAGGCTTC